CTGGGGAGGAACCTTTCTACCTCTCACTGTATTTAACTGCCATGCAGATAAACTGAAGGCAAATCTGGAAGATTAGTTAAAAAGATCCTGCACATTTCTAGTGTGTTTTAAGGATAATTCCTTCTACAAATATTCATGCAATAGTTTCATTAAAATTTGCATTTTGAACAAAGTTGATTATCCTGTTCAGATTTGGAACTACTTTGATCTTTTATTTACATACCTGTCCTGACAGGGAAATTTCAGTGTCATAACTGCTTCAGACTGCAGCAGCTATGGTAACTGAACCAACAGTATTTAGAAACACAATCACAATGTTTAAAAAAAAAAAAAAAAGTTCTAGTGAGAATTGAAAATTTTGTATTTTCTGATGATAATTTTAGGAAAAGGAAAGGCTCAGTGTCTGTGAGAGAAGTCCACAAAATGAACTTGCCAGCCTAAAAGGACAATGTGTTTATGATAAGAAAACTCATCTATTTGACTTGATTTTTCTAACATGCCTAATGACTCGATTTCCAATTCACATTATCTTTGAATTGAACCCAGGGACCCAATGAATTCAATGTACATATTAGTGGCATGAATTTAATGCTTAAAAAGGAGGTGTGCAGATACTTACAACTTGAAAATATTTTGTCCTGGTATGGATTGTATAAAAAATTCTGAACAAGTCACTTCAGGGATTTTTTTCCTACATTTGCTAATGAGGATAATTTCTCATGCTTTTTTCAAGATTCACATGGTTATTTTACTAGATCTCAAATACACTTTGTCCAGTGAAAGCTCATTAAAAGAGCCTTACTGAAGTTGGAAAACCAGAAGACAATTATATATCAACATTTAAAATGGACTTGGAGCATTTATAATTTAGTTACAAGTCCTCTTACCTGACTAAGGTAACTTTATGTTAAAGTAATCAGTTGAAAATATTTTAAATCAGAAAGTAGCTGCTCAAAGAAAGGAAATTACATTTGTATTTTAGTAAGTAATTTCATGTTGTTTTAGCAGAGACTGTGATGCAGTCTTCAGATATCACAAAGGTATTTGACCTTGTTTCTTGGTAGTGAGTTAATACAAGCACGACAGGAGTAATCCCCTTGAAATCAGTCAGGGGAGGTAGATTTATATAGGCATGAGGTAAACAAGGATAGAATTGAGAGAATTGAGAAATGAGGTTTTGCCATACTGATTGTTGAAAATTTGATCTTCCTATGCTTGGCAGTATTTTTATTGGAGTATAGGAGAATTTTCTCGCCCCCTTCAGTTTGCAAAGTCGTTTGTGTGCTTGTATATTTCCATGCAGTATAGGTATGTGAAGAGTTCTGCATCTGCCCTGTGCATGTATGAATTTACGTACAGAGGCAATTAAGAAATAATAAAAAGGGGTGCTTTCCATGATATCTCCAAGGTAAGTGTTTTTTAAATACTGCCTTTTAAAACATTCTTAGGTGTTCAAAGTTGCTATGTCAACTCTTGGCAATATCACGTGTAATTTTCTAACACCATTCTTGAACTAATGTCATGGTCTTCTGCTCAGAGAGAAGTGGTCTATTTTATATACTGGTCTATTTTGTCCTTAACTCTTCCATGTACTTGTAATCTGAAGAAAGCATTCAGCCTTTTTCTTCATTCTGGAGGTCATCTCTATCCACATGGATAACAAAAAGGTGATCAGGAATAGTCTGCATGGATTCACTAAAGGTGATCAGGAGTAGTCTGGATGGATTATGCTTGACCAACGTGATTGCCTTCTATGGTGAAACAGCTACTGGGGTGGATGATGAAGAACAGTAGGTATTGTCTACCTCTACTTCAGCAAGGCTTTCAAAACTGACTGTCACAACATCCTTATAGGTGAGCTCAGGAATGTGGACTGGATGAGTGGACAGTGAGGTAGATTGAGAACTGGCTGAATGGCAGATCCCAGAGGGTTGTGATCAGTTGTACAGGATTTAGCTTGGAGGCCTGTCACTAGTGATGTCCCCCAAGGTTCAATACTGGGCCCAGTATTTTTTAATTTGTTCATCTATGACTTGGATGAAGGGGCAGATGCCTCCACCGCAAGTTCACTGATGACACAAAGGTGGGAAGAGTGGCCGATATCCCAGAGAGCTGTGCAGCCCTTCAGAAAGACCTTGATAAGTTGGAGAGATGGGCAGAGAAGAAATGACTGAAATTCAACAAACGCAAGTGCGGGGTTCCGCACCTGGGGAAGAATAACCCCAGGCACCATTACAGGCTGGGAGCTGAGCTGCTTGAAAACAGCTCTGCAGAAAAGGATTTGGGGGTCCTGGTGGACCACAAGTGTCCATGAGCCAGAAGCGTGTCCTTGTGGCCAGCAAGGTCAATGGTATCCTGGGGTACATTAGGAAGAGCATTGCCAGCAGGTTGAGAGGGTTGATCCTGCCCCTCAACTCAGCTCTGGTGAGTCCTCACCTGTAGTGCTATGTCCAGTTCTGGGCTTCTCAGTGCAAGAGAGACATAGGGCTCCTGGAGTGGGTTCAGCAGAGAATGACAAAGATGATTAAAGGACTGGAGCTTCTGACAAGGCAAGGCTGAGGGAGCTGGGCCTGTTCAGCTTGGAGTAGAGACAACTCAGAAAAGACCTCATCAGTGTATACAAGTATCTGAAGGGAGGGTGCCAAGAGGATGGATGGATCCAGGCTCTTCTTGGTATTGCTGAGCTGTAGGGTCAGAGCCAGTGGGCAGAAACTGATGCACAGGAAGTTCTACTTGAAGACAAAGAAGAAGTTCTTTACTGTGCAAGTGGCCATGCACAGAACAGATTGCCCATAGTGGGGAGTCTCCCTCACTGGAGATATTAAAGAACTATCTGGATGCAATGCTGTGCAATGTGCTCTAGGATGACCCTGCATGGGCAGGGAGTTGGGAGCAGATCCAGTGTGGTCCCTTCCAACCTGAGCCATTGTGTGATTCTGCAATTTTAGGTATTTATTTGCGTGTCTTCCAGCTTATGCACTAGAAGAGTCAAGGTTGCACATTTGCTTCTCCCAAAGCTATGCCTTGTGGCACAGATAACTAATACCACAGACATAGTGAATTATAGGAAGAGATGCAAGTGATAAATAGCTATAATAACAAGTCCTACATAGAAAACAATGCAAGAGGTAGCCTTATTTTATTTGTTGATGACCGTACCTCATTTCCTAATTTATTCTTTTTGCTTCAGTAGAACAGTGAAATGGACACAATGCAGTTTTGCTTTAACAGTATGATCAAAACATTAAGAACATTCTAAAAAAGGGCTGAATTTGCAGTTGAGAAAAACCAGTTAATTTTGCCACATTTTATCTAAATATCTGAAAATGTGGGTTATAAAATTAAGAAAAGCAACGACTGCTTAAAATGTTTTATTACAACATTTAGTATTGGATTGGCTTCTGATTCATCCAATTATCTTTCTATTCTGTTTTTAGGAGATTCTTAGGAATGAAAATTATAGAGAAGAAATGAAACAGAAAATAAAAGATGTATCTGAAAAAGATAAGCTGCTTCAAGCCAAGGAATACAAGGAGGGACTTGTTGCTGAACCAGGTCATACTCAGGTCAAAGGTCATGCATCTGCCCCTTACTATGGAAAGAAAGAGCCTTCGGAAGATCCCACAAGCACTGCAAATACCTTCCAGCCTGGTGCCTGGATGCCACCAGGCAGTGGTAGTAGTCAAAATAAATGAACAATTGTATTGTACAGATATTGCTCATGCTTTAAGAGATGATATGAAGAGCTTTACATACAAGTGTGCAATGAAGTGGTGTTAAAGCAGTTCCATTTACTTTTGCAGAACTATTCAAATGGGCTTAATCATGACAAACCAATGTAAAATGTTTGGGTTTAGTGAAAAACAAGATGTGTTACTAAGTTAAGTTTGGTTTTGACAGTTGCTATTAATCAGTTATACTTAAATTCAATTAGAATGTTGTCTAACCCAGTTTTCCTAAATAAGTCTAAATTGTTTTTTCCCTGAACACTAATTTATTTTTAAAATTGTTTTTGATGTAATAGTTGGTATGCTTACATTTTCCCAAACCTTGGCCAAGATATCTCTTCAGATTAACTGCCTTGTCGATGCCAGTCTGCTTTCCACTGGCAAGCACGTGGAAAAGTTGATTTCATTGAGAAGACTCACCATGACACTACACTGATTACACATCATAGAGATGTTCTTGTAACTTAAAACAGTCAACATATCTGAATGTTTGACTCTCAGCCAGCAATTTGCAAGGATAAAATCAGTTAAACTACATATAACTGCTATAATAGAGGCTGGAAGTACTTGATAAAGCTGCTGCAAAATAATACAAGGTTTGGGACAAGGGACTGTCATAAATATTTAAAGCAAAAAATATAAAATTAGTTTTTATTTCTGGTGTATCCATGGACTTCCCTGAATGATTAGATCATTTTGGCCACAGTTTAGATACACAAAATGTATGGATTATGTGGTTAGAGAGGACGTTTGAGAACTTCAAATAAAAATAAAGACCACATAATTTTTTTCAAAAAGTATCAAATTTATTTATGGAGTTTATCCCTCATCACTTCTCCTCCATGTGTTTCAAGCCATGTAGGTATCAAAGGTGGAACACATACACATTTGACAACACTTCATACAAAACATGGAGACATAATCTCACATATTTATAAAATGCCCAATAATGCATTGCTTTCTAATGCTAATAATGCTTGCTTTCACCAACAAAATTGAAAGGGGATCAACTTCACACTTACTTTAAGTAATTTCAGTTAGACTCCCCTCTTCTGATCCCCCTTGGTATCAAGCTAGCTCTATAGGTGTCTTCATTTAAACAATGGTATTATTTAAAGGTTTTATTTTTAAACATCATCAAAGGCTATCTCCTAAAATGCACAACTCTGTGCTGCTGTTTAGAAATATGCAGAATAGAAAAACTTAATGACTACCACAAGCTATTTTGCACTAGATTGTGTAGAGGCCCTTGAAAACGTAATCTGTTTTGCTAAGAAACATAAATTAGAAATAAGGTGAAAAAAATTTGGTGTATTTCCAACACAAACCTTTTTTTTTTCTTCCAGTATACCAGCAATTTGCAACCTGTAAGGCAGTAGAGTTTCAATGGCCATAAGAACAAAAGTTCTACCTAAACTCAGAAGGTCCTAGATCAAAGGTAGCCATGTTAGAAAGTAAAAAGAACTACTGTCACCAGCATGTGCATTGACCTCCCACAGCCGTCTGCTATAGGTCACTAGGACACAGAACACTAGGCCAGCTGGGTCTTTGGTCTCACCCCATTTATGTCTATTCTTTGAGGCATAAAGACTTTACGAAGGCAGAAACAAATTAGTTACAGGTGGAGAGTTCAGCTGATTGTTAGGAAAGACCACACAACATAGTACTGTATTTTGTAGAACACGATGAATGCCTTAAGACAAATGAAGCTAACAAGAACAAGTTATCAGTTTCCTAGAGTTTGGGCTGAATTTAAAGGCTGTTCATGGCTGGTAGTTCAGGAAATAGGAAGAGTTAGGTAGGTTATTTCTGCAGGGAAGCCCCACCATCAAAGACACTGCACCAGCCACTACGGGCACACACAGCCATATGCAGCGTCCTTAAAGGAAATCAGTAATATCTGCTACCTAATTAAGCTACAGTTAGCTTATCTCTACAGCTCTGCTGAAGGTATGCCAAAACTTGCATTTCTGTAATCCAGTTTATTATTCACATTTTTCCCTAAATTTGACAACTTTAAGACACTTGTTAAGTCATAACTCAGCTAAGGGGAAAAACAAATTACCTCCAGTCACGCAACAGGTTAATTTTTTAATATAACATGCAAATTTAGAAAAGCAACTTGCACTAGAAAACACAAGTAGTATATTTAATTAATAAAGTGTCGGGCGAATTTGAACACAAATCAGCAGGAAAAAAATACAAAGTATTAAATTTCATACTTCAAGAAATAACAGGATCAAGTATCAAAGGACAGTTACAACACAAAATGTACAAGTGTTTCATTTAAAAAGTGGATTCTTTGCACATGGCAGGTGATTTTTTTTTTTTTTCCCATTTAATCCTTCTTTGTTCGTTTGGCTTTTGCGATGTTCTCTTGGCGTTTCTGTTTCTTCTTTTGCTCTCGCTCCCTGGCCTCAATCATTTTTGCAAGCTTCCATGAAAGTGCTGCACTGATCACGAACAACGGCGTAAGGGCCAAGATCACTGTGGTAAGGAAGCCATAGGGGTCCTTTGCAGCCCACTCCACGATGTACTCAGCCCAAGCCTTAATATCAAGCATCTTTTCTGTTCTTCTATTGGGAAAACCCCGTAGAATAATAATAAAAAAAAATAATTTCTGAGTACTCAGAAAAATAAAAGCACACATACACAAAAACAAAACACAAGAAGTTCTACATGAGGAACAATTTTTCTGCATTGAGCGTGGCAGAGCACTGGAACAGGCTGCCCAGGGAGGTCGAGTCTTCCTCACTGGAGACATTCAGAACCCACCTGTGTCCAGGTGGCTCTGCCTTGCAGAGTCGTTAGACTGGATGATTCCAGAGGTCCCTTCCAACCTTAAGAGTTCTGTGATAGCAACTACCGTTTTAATATAAGTTGTCATACAGAGCAAGCCCATTTTTGCTAGAAGTGAAAAGAGGTGCATGGCATGTGAAAGAGTAATACAAAGCACTAACCGCACCTTAAATTTCAGCGCTTATAAAACAATTAGGAATTGCACCCAACAGAGTTGCAGATACTACCAAGAATAAACTGCTCAATGGAAAAAAAAAAAAGGAGTACGGTCTGTGGTTCTCTGGAACAAAAGGAAAGCCAGCCCGGTTGGTTTCTCTCTCCATAGGTTTCACTACGGAAGGGAGGAAGCCCGGGCAGCGCTTCAGACACTGAGCTGGCGGTAGCCGGGAAAAGAAGAACCCGGCGGCGGTGTCGGCTCCGCCGCGTCTCCCCCGCGAACGACTCGACCGACCCCTCCGTCCCTCCCGCCGCTCCTCTCGTCCCACCTCACCTGGGCCCCGGGGACGCTCCAGGCCTGCCGAGCGGCGCAAGGGCGGCGCCGAGATCCCTGCGGAGAGAACACACGGGCCGTGAGGGGGAGGCGACGCCCCAGCAGCAATGCCCGGACCGCCCCGCCCTCCCTCCTCCGGGCTCAGCTAATACCGCGGCCCTGAACGCCTCCGGACTTCCGAGCGGAAACAGGAAGGAGGCACCCGGGCCGCCCCGCCCAGGCCGGGCGGGAATGGGATAGCAGAGCCCGCCCGCCGCAGGGGTGGGGTGGTCCCGCGGCGCTCCGCCTTTCCAAGATCCGCCCGTGGCCACCTCACGGTCACCGCCCGTGGGGAGCAGCGGAGTGCGGCGTGCAGGGGCTCATCACTGCTTTGGGAAAAAGGCTGTACACTGGGAAAAAGGCGTTCCCGAGGTACCCAGATGGGTAGTTCACGGTGTATGCCGCTCGCCCGCAGGGCAGCTTGGCAGCGGCCGGTGGGGAATGCCTGCCCTCTGAGAACGGCGGTGTCCCTCCCCTCTCCCAGTGTGCTGCCGCTCGGGTGCGTGGCACGATCGGGATCAGACCGGAGGGAACTTGTGCCAGTGCCTCGGCGGTGTACCCCCCGTATGTCGTGCGTCTTTGGGGAGCCCTGACTTTCCGGCGGGCGCACCGTGCCGTCCCCGGGGGTACCAGCCGTGCAGCACCTGCTGTTGCGCTGCTCCCCACCGAACTTACCTCAGCGAAAATAACTCGGCTGAACTCCGAATATTCTGAGCCTTTAATATGCTCATACTGAAAATTCAGGCAAATTCAAAAATCTCGTATTTGCCTTGCCTTGGTGTGTTGCACCAAGTCTTCTCCCTTTCACACATAGACTCATGTGAATAAAAAGTTCATGTTTCCGAAGCAAGACAAAGGAGCTTATTAGCTTAGTACATGAGAGGATCTTGCAGTCACCCAAATTGTATTGATCAGTTCTAAAGTTCCTTTCTCTGTAACGTACCAACAAATGCCATTGGGGCATTCTGGTCTTGTAAATTTTTTCTTTACATGAATATTTGTATTATTTAAAGGGCAGTTTAAATATATAAATATGCAGTTAAATATAATATTACACAAATAATATATATTATAATTTAATATTAAACATAAAGTATATCAAATATACAGTTAAATGTATATTTTGTCAATGAATCATTGACAAGTGTCATGAAAGAGATGCACTACCAACAGAGACCCTAAAATTGCTTTAGTTTCAGTATGCTGAATGCAATTTTGTGATATATGCAAAATTACATTATTGCATTCTTGTTCAAAAGCTGTCTGTTGTGTTCTGGCTCTTGTAATATTTTTTCAGGACAGGACAGGACAGGACAGGACAGGATCCTTCTGTTTGAAAGCACCTACAGTGATCATCTCATCCGACTGCCTAATTGCTTTAGGGCTAAACAAAAGCTACAGTATGTTGTTAAGAACTGCACCCTGAGGAACACTGCTGGTGGCTGGTCACCAGCCAGCTGTAATCCCAGTCACTACACCCCTCTGAGCTCTGCCCTTCAGCCAGTTCTTCACCCAGCACACCATGAACCTGCTTATCTCACAGCTGGACATCATGTCCCGAAGGATGCTGTGAGGGGCAGAATCAGAAGCCTTATTCCAGACTTAATCTGTTAAGAATCCTTAATCCTTCCTAAAATCCAGGAAAACAACATCCACCTCCTTCCCTCCATCTACTATGCAGGTGACCTTGTCATAAAGGCTATAAATTCAGTTAAAAAGGACTTTCCTGTTGTGAACCTGTGTAGACTGTGCCTGATGATTACATTATTCTTTAAGTACCTTTCTCCATAATTTTTCCAGGTACTAAGTTTAGACTAACAGGTCTTCTGGAGTATTCCCTTATGCCGTTTTTGTAAATGGGAATAATGCTGGCTAGCTTCCAGTCAGCAGGGACCTCCAAAGACCCCAAGACCTTTGGGAGATATCTGTTCATGCGTCTCTGTACCTGTGTTACTCAGCCAGTTAGGTGAGCATTAAAACCCTTAAAAGAAGTTATGGATCCCTCTTTGGTCTGTAGTTTGTAAATCTTAACAAAACATAATAATCCCAATTTATTTGACTAAAGATATTATTTTGGAGATAAATCATTGTAAGACATTTCGCATTCTGTGTAGCTAAGTTAAAAGTACGTGGGCTATTACATTAGTATATCCTATTTCTGGTGAAATTACGTATTGGGCTGGAGGACACAGTTACATTTTTGATGCTTGAATGTCAAATTCAGACACACATTCCAAAATAAACATGGAATTAGTCAACAACTATATACAAAGTGTTTAATATTACCACCTTTAGATCTGCTGCAAAGTTAATTTCCAGTTCCAGTCTTTCACATTATAGTAACTGTCTCATCTGTCTGTCTTTCAGTATCTTCTCTGCCTTAGCCTTAGTGATTTAAAGACAAAAGTGCCTGATTCATTGTGGTAGGGATTTTTAATTCACTTTTTTTTTCCTAGAAACCAGATCTTATATAATTACTTTTTCTGCTGTCCTTCTCCAGCTAATATCTTGTGAAGCTGTTGACTGGTTATATTGGCAAAGTAGTAGAAGTCTCATACATAACGATTCTGCTCCTGTACGAACGATCTGTGAAAACAGAGGGCTAGGTAGAGAAGACAGGTCCAGGCTACCACCTTGACTGAAAGCTGCAGTGCATTTTTATTAGGAATTAAGAGAAGTTATGGAAATACTACCTGATGGGGAGGGTTCCTTTATGGCTTATCCTCTACGAAACTCGGAATAATTCAACCACAAGGCCATGGGAGATGAGGATATTTGTTTTGGTTTTCTGAGTTACTCATTTGTATCTTAAGTAGTCAAAGAGAGAACAGAAATTCCAGAATTTCCCTACAGCTTGCACAAAGCAGCACAACCCTTAGCATACCATTAGAGTACTTTAAAATACCACATTAGGCATGTATTTGTGTTAACCATAATTTTGTCACTGAGCTGTTAATTTGCAAATCTGCACTTTCTTTTACATCTCATCTAGAATTCATTTAAATGCCACTGTTCTGCTATTTATAGCAATGTGTGTGCCTGTGCATATTTTAAGAGTCATTAATTTTGTATATGTCAGGGAAGGATCTAGTGATGAAAGATCACAAACAGGAAGATAAATGGAAAAAACACTCCAAAAATTAAACAATAATAAAGATACAATGCAGAGAAATCTGCTGAGAATGTAATACAGGCATGGAAAATAGAAGAGTTACTTGTATGAAAGCAAAGTCTTTTTCATGCCAACAGAGACTGAAGGGTTTGTAAGTGTTTGATTGTGTGTGGTGAAGAGAAGCTTTGAGGAAATGTATTCATTTCACTCAGATATGTTGACCTGTATCAGTAGTCTAGAATAATTCTGTATAAGGAAGCTGCAAAATATTTCAGTCAGTGTAATCTCCAGTTACGCTTTTATCACTTGTAAATTCTGAGGATATACTAGTTCCTTGAAGCTCATTTTTTTTCTACATACAGCATGAATTCGTCAGCAATCTTTATATATACTTATTAATGTCCTGGGCATGTTCTACTCCACTTGATGAGTATCCCTGTTTCTTTAGGAGCTAGGTGGAATTCTTTGCCATTGCAAAATGAAGGGTTTTTTTAAGAGGTTTGAAAGGTAAAAAGACTTTTTTTTTTTTTTTCTCCAGCCTGTGAAAGCTTTATTGGCCCTTTTTTTGACCATGTATGATATCTTCACAGAATGTGGCAGCCAGTAACATTCTGGGTTTTACAGTTGTACTTGAGCCAACAAAATTCCTTTGCAGCACTGGGGCTTAAGGATTTTTTTCTGCTACAAATCTTAATTTAAGAACACTGGTATTTCATGTTGAAGTGGATGTGCGGTACATCTTTATTGTTGGAAGATCAACCCCGAATATTTGTAGTTTGGCTACCATTCACCACAGTTAGGTCTGAATATCCAAGGAAAAAGTAGTCAAAATCATGATTAATATTGCTGCTGTACTTAAATTCACTTCAAACCACTCTTTTTGTTCTGCTCCTATATGTTTTCAAAGACAGAGCACGTGTTGGGACAGTGCATGACCCATAGGTTGAGTATGTGCTACATGCTTCCGTATGTTGACAATGTGGTAGAACACAAAAGTACATTTATCCAATATTTGATTAAAGAGTGATCAAATACTTCTGTGCTCTAGGTGGATTCATTTAAGTAATAGCTTTTTTTTTAGTACTTTTATTATGAAGTATATAATTGAAGAATTTAAGTGTGTCAGGCCTTACTCTAGCCTTTGTTCCTATTTTTGATCTTATTACAGTTTAAAATATATTCAGTTGCCTATCTTTGCCAATGCCAGGTCAGCTCCTAAATTTCAGACATTCAGAGTATTGGAGCAGGCATCAATAAGAAAAAACAACCAGCTAAATCGTTTAGAAGCAGCTCGGTAGTCTAGCTTACAAATCTCAGACAACTGAAAGCTGCCATCAAGATATTTTACCCCTGCAACAAAATCAGGTGTTATTTCCTTAATTGTGTCTCCATTCTGAGGCATACAGGAGCAGTAGACTCAAACGTTCATCTGACTTTTCTTTCTCTTGGTAGCAGAAATTCTGTAGAAGAGATCAGGTATGCTTTTAAAAGCACAAGTATTCCTTGATCTGTTGCATGATTTTTAAGAGCTGTGCCCACAGGATTGCCATAGGAATTTATTCTCTACTCTCCGAAGGATCATAGCCATACTAGCAGGAAGCAGCAAGAGCGGCCACTCGGTATAGGAAGGTGAGCCAGGGGAGAAGGCAGGCAGGGTTGTGGCCTCATTGACAAGGGCACAGTCCCACAATACTGAAGCACAAAGAGCAAAACAAGTCTGGTGATGGTAACAAGGCTCAGCCAACAGTCCAGACAAACAGGCAAGCCTGTAGTGATGAGACAGGTCCAAGAACAAGCCTAAACTAGATGTCCCAGTCTAAAAAAAAAAAACATTTCTAAAGAAAATTAAAGCCACTACTTCAGAAATAGTAGATATCAGGAAAGGTAAAACTAAATATTAATTCTTATTCTAAAGCAGAAGATAAGAATTGCAGAAGGGTTATAAGAGAAGGAAGAGGACAAGCTTATAGCCAGCAGAGTTAAGGATAACTAGGAGTTTTGATTATGTTTTCTTCAAATAAAAGAATTGGTCCAGGAAGAGTTGAAATGTTTAGTTGATATCTATGAGCTAT